ACACATATTGATATTGACATACATGGTGTGACATTGGCATTCATACATACGTACCTACCTACCTACCTACCTACCTACCTACCTACCTACCTACCTACCTACCTACCTACCTACCTACCTACCTACATATATACATATATACACACATACATACACACGTATACACATACATACACACGTACATACATACATACATACATACATACATACATACATACATACATACATACATGCATGCATACATACATACATACACATACATGCAGACATGCATTCTTTACATGCATGCATGCATGCATACAAGCAAACAAACACGTATGCCTACACATCTTATACATAAGTCTGTGTGCGTGTAGTAGCCCTTGTAAGCATAGACTCCAAACCCAGGCATTGGCAAGCTTGGCCGTTCTAAAAGCAATGCTACAGAGGCAGGGAGTGGAGGGTTGAGTTGAGGTTTGTGATGCCATTGAACCCCCGGGCAAGGTTTTACGTGGAGGAATTTGCTACTTCCGAAGCAGTAGGGTTTAGGCTTTGGGGTTTTAGGGTTTGGGGTTTAGGGTTGAGGGGTCTAGGGTTTAGTATTTCGGGGCTCCACATGAGAAATCTCCTGCAAGGCTAGTTGGCAATTGGCCTCCCCTCAGCTACCTACCGAACCACTTGGAGGCACTTTTGACTTAGTAAGTAGGGTTAGTAAGGTGGGTTATGGGGATTATAATAGGGCTCCTGGGGGATACTAAGTAGACTTACTAAGTCAAAAGGGCCTCCAAGTACTGAACCAGAGTCTCAGAGAGCTCCTATTGAGTGATCTCTTGTCAAGGGCTGGTTTAGTATAGGGGCCTCAATAATTACCTATATTATTTCGGGGGCTCCTTAGTTATAACTATACTATGAAGGACCCCCCAAAGCCCTAGTCTAATTATTAAGGCCCCTATATTACCTGCAACTAGCGGAATCTGCGGTGCGAGTCCCCACAATGCCCTAGGCCCAATCCCGACATGCTTGCAGCAGGAAAGCCGCACGTACGAAAACCCCCTGAAGGGTAGGGGTATGCCCTGACTTACAACACGCTTTCGCAAGGGTTTAGGGTTTAGGGTTTAGCAAGGGTAGTAGAGTTGCATATTCCTGGAATGACACATTCGGTCATACACAATACATCCTATGATGCCCACAAGAAGCAAGCGAGACTGGTAAGCGTACGTGTGACCTGCCCATTTGGTCACTTGGTGCAAGCCCCCTAAGCAAGACCCAAACCCTAGCCCCTTACTTTTTGCATAGGGGTGTTGCGTCCCTGCACAGTTGCGTCCCTGCACATGCCTCTATCATATACCCCCCAACACCCTTGTTCTAGCTGGTGAAGCCCCTATCGTAGACCAACCCGAGTCCGAACACCCACTGGGTGTCGGGTTTATAGTTGGGCTTCGGCAAACCCGCGAACCCGCTATTGCAGCGGTCTGATTGCTTACTAATCGTATTATGATCTCGGTATAGCTATATCATGTCACAGATATACTACAACAACTCCAAAACCCACGCTACCTATTCAGGCCCCATGTTCAACCTTGAACACCCCACGGAAATGCTCTTGGAGTCCTCTTGCAGGCTCTGGATGTGTAAACCCTAAGCCCTAAACCCTAATTACCCGAAACCCTAAACCCTAATTAACCTGAACCCTCAACCCCAGACCCTAATTACCCTAAATACCCTCAAACTCAAACCCTAACGCCTAATTACCTTACACCCTAAACCCTAATTGTCCTAAACCCTCAACCATAAACCCTAAACCCTAAATACCCTCAAACCCAAACCCTAACGCCTAATTACCCTACACCCTAAACCCTAAACCCTAAAACCTAAACCTTAAACCCTAAACCCTCAGAACAAAAACCTAATTGTCCTAAACCCTACAGGTCGCTGTGGCTTCAGAGGCCCTCTTAGGCATGCTCGCCACTCGCCTCAAATGGGCTGCAGGGTTCCGGGCGTGGGATTTTAGGGTTCAGGGTTTCGGGTGTTTAGAGTTGGAGGGCTTTTAGGGTTTAGGGCTTTCAGGGTTTAGGGTTTAGGGTTCAGGGGTTCCGGGCGTAGGATTTTAGGGTTCAGGGTTTTGAATTGTTTAGAGTTTGAGGGCTTTTAGGGTTTAGGGCTTTCAGGGTATAGGGCTTTTGGGGTTTAGGGTTTCTAGGGTTTTTGAGGCATAGGGTTTTTTAGTGTTTAGGCGGTTTGAGGGTTCAGGGTGAAGGGTTTAGGGTGCAAGATTTAGGGCTTCGGGTTTTGTGGATTCGGATTATAGGTGGCTTTGGGGGTAGTGATCGGGTAGTGTCTTGGAGTTGTCTAGCTTCTGGCTTTGGGTTTTCTGGGCGTTTAGGATCTAAACTGAGCTTGAGGTTTCGGATGCAGGATCTTAATCAAAGGAAACTACAGGTGGGGAGTTTAGGGTATATCTCTCTCTCAGCGTCGCACAGAAGT